TATACAGGGTGTCAGATTCGATATGGACGACCCCAAAGATTATAGTAGATTGGGTTAAACTGAGAAGAAAAGTTATATAAAATTTTACAAAATCGTAATTATTATCGCGTAATTCAGAAAAACGTCTGAGCCAATAAGTGCACGGAGGAGCGGAAGGCCGGACTCGGCAGCATGCAAAATGGTGTGTTTGTTGACATCTCTAGCAAACGCGTTCGCCCGCTCACCGCTCCCCGCTCCCCGCTCGCCGCTCGCCACCGTCTCTCATCGATCGATGCGTGACTCCACCTCTCGCTATCGATTTTTCAGAGATGTCAACAAACACACCATTTTGCATGCTGCCGAGTCCGGCCTTATTGGCTCAGACGTTTTTCTGAATTAGGCGATAATAATTACGATTTTGTAAAATTTTATATAACTTTTCTTCTCAGTTTAACCCAATCTACTATAATCTTTGGGGTCGTCCATATCGAATCTGACACCCTGTATACCTATATCGCGCATGGTAGAAATATCACTATACGCACATGCGCAAAATGAGATACCTTTGTACATGCTTTCCGCAGTCATTTTATATAAGCGAAATTTAGGGAGTTATCAGTCTAGTATTATATAGAAGTCTGTGGTCTATACTCAGAATCTACCTGTGCTGTATGGGTAGTATGTCATTAGTGTCTTATGGTAGTTCTGATTTTAGAATTAAGAGCCTCGGATTGGTCAAACTCAACTGTTGCGTAAAGAATATATGCGCTTGGATTATTTTTGTAGTTGTAAAGGCTGATGATCAAATCCCTTTGTTAGGCTTGCAAGAGTGTTTAACGTTAAAACTTATTAAGCGAATAGATGCAATTGAAAAAGTAATGTTTAAATCAGTTAATGATGTTGTGATTAAATATCCACAAGTATTTGATGGGCTGGGGAGGTTTCCTAATCAACATCACATAACTTTAAAAGAAAATGCCAAACCTCGTATTAGTCCCATCAGGCGTGTTCCTCAAATATTGCATGATCGTTTAAAAACAAAGTTATGTGATCTTGAGGAAAAAGGAGTCATTCGAAAGGTAGACAAGCCCTCAGAGTGGGTGCATCCGTTAGTCATAGTTGCAAAACCAAATGGTGATCTAAGGTTGTGTCTAGATCCTAAGGAGCTGAACGATACTGTACAGCGGGAGCATTTTCTGATACCATCAGTAGACGAAATTGCAGGAAGATTGAGCAATAAACAATACTTTACTGTACTTGACATGAAAGATGGGTATTGGCAGGTTGAGGTGGATAGTCCTAGTGCTGATCTGTTAACATTTGGAATACCATTTGGTCGGTATCAGTTTGTGCGTCTGGCTTTTGGCATATGTTCAGCACCCGAAGTATTTCAAAAGAAAAATTATGAAGTATTTGGTGATGTTCCGGATTCAATTATGAATCTCGGTCTGTTCGTCACCGGCGTGATGGCAGATCAGCCGGGTCAGATCGTGCAGCGCCACAGGAGCGCTGCGCGCGCATGCCCGATCGCGACGCGAGGCGACAGCGCTTCTTCACGTTCGTTACCGGCTTTTGGCTCATGGCTACCGTACCTAGTACACGCGTCGTGTAGTGCAAAAGATTCTCAAGTGCTCTTGTGGACTTTTCTCATCCGAGAATCGACTCAGTGCGAAGACGAAGTGAACTCTTCGTTGTGCGACTCATCCTGGACATTTAGATACAGCATCAACGGCAGCTCAAGCTCTCCACGCATCGCACGCCGGCGTAGCGTGGCCACGGCTCACGGGCATCGACATTCACGAGGCCGGCCATCGATTAATATAATCGAACCGTGCGAGTGATTAAGAGACTTCTCATCCCCGTTAGATCATAGACTGCTCAAACTGTAAGCTTCTTATATTTATTAAACGACCAACGGCATTTTACTCAAAACGCCAAGAGTGTTCGATCACGTGATTTCTACCCTCACAAGCGTGCATCCGTTCCCCGAGTCTCGCGCCGCAAAGTCCTCTCAGCCCTGCTTCCAACCGCAGCGGTCCAGCGAGCTCTCCCAAAAGAGATTCGCGAACAGGTGACATTAAAGGCGTAGGAGTGTACTTTGATGACATAATTGTAACGGGATCGTCGGAGGGTGAACATGACAGAAACTTACAATGTGTCTTGGAGAGGGCATTGAAATACAATATTAAGTTCAATAAATCAAAAATACAATTCAAACAAAGTAGCCTCAAGTTTATGGGACAGATGTTTACCAAAGAGGGGATTCAGACAAATGGAAAATATATCAAAGCCATTTCAGATATGCCGATCCCGGGGTCTAAACTAGAAGTTTTAAGATTTTTAGGTCTGGTTAAGTTTGTGGGGAAATTTGTTCCTAATTTATCTAAAATTACTGCACCTTTGCGCAATCTGACACGACTTGATGTGGACTGGCACTGGACGGCTGAGCATCACGAATCTGTCAAACAGCTCAAACATCTATTAACCACATCGCCTGTATTGGCATTTTTCGACTCAAAAAAGGAGATAGAAATAGAAACTGATGCATCAAAGGATGGGTTAGGCGCGAGTCTCCTACAAGAAGGAAAACCAATAGCTTTCGCTTCTAGAAGTCTGTCGAAGACAGAACAACAATATGCTCAAATTGAAAAAGAAATGTTAGCGATTCTATTTGCAGTACAAAAGTTTCATTACTTTGTTTATGGGTATCATATTAAAGTGCGGAGTGATCATAAACCACTAGAGTCTATTTTTCGAAAATCCTTGCATGCTATATCGCTAATACAAAGAATGCGATTAAAGTTACTAAATTATGATTTGACTGTTAGCTATAAGCCAGGAAAATATATGTATGTTTCAGACGCACTCTCCAGAGCATATTTAAAGCAAGCAGGCTAAGTCAAATTCTGTGATAGATTTTGCTGTTCATTGTGTAGTGAAGCGTCTGCCCGTGTCAGATGAGCGCAAGGGTCAGTTCCAACAAGCCACTAGCAGCGATCCTCAACTCAGTTCAGTTGCAAACTGCATGATAAATGGTTGGCCTAGTCAGAAATACAAAATACCGGAAAACATTAGAGTATATGTAAAACTTAAAGATAAGCTATACATGAGTGACAACTTGCTGTTTTTAGAGCACAAACTGGTAGTGCCTAGTATACTGAGAAAGGAAATGCTTGAACTGCTACACGAGGGCCATCTTGGCATAGAAAAAACAAAGTTACGTGCCAGAAAAATTTTCTATTGGCCTGGAATAAGTGGACATTGAGAATTATATAAAATGTTGCAAAGTTTGTGAGAGTCACGCTCGAAAGAATCCTAAAGAAACCTTACTGCCATACCCTCTTCCGGATAGACCCTGGGAACGTGTAGGATCGGATATTTTCACATACGCTGATAAGAGTTATGTCGTTCTCTTTAACGCCTATTCCAACTGGCTTGAACTTCTACAAATTAAAGATAAAAGCGCACAGACTGTTATACAAAGCCTAAAGACTGTATTTTCTAGGTTTGGAAGCCCAGACATGTTAGTAGCTGACAATGTACCGTACAATAGCGAAAAGTTCCGAGAATTTGCCAAAAACTGGAACTTTAATCTTATACTAAGAAGCCCTAATTTTCCGCGATCTAATGGGCTTGCTGAAAAGGCAGTATCAATTTCAAAAAATCTGTTAAAAAAGTGGTCGAAGGAGACAAAGAAGCGAACATAGAAACAGCCTTGATGAATTACAGAAACTATCCGTTAAAAAACATGGGTTACTCACCATCCCAATTACTAAACAGTAGAGTGTGTAAAACTAAAGTTCCAGTTTCTGCGAATCTTTTACAACCTGAGTTATGCAAAGGCGTAAAAAATAAACTGCAAGAAAAAAGAAACGCGAATTTAAATAATTTTAACAAAACAGCTAAAAAACTCAAGCCACTAAATAACAACTCAGATGTGACCATATTCAATCATACAATGAACAAGTGGGAGCCAGGCAAAATTGTGAAAACTAATGTTGCACCCAGGTCGTATGTTGTACAAAATTGTACTGGCAACACTATTAGAAGATAGATTTGATTTAAGACCGTCAGAGAATGCTTTTCAGATGTTACCTTCTAATGTCTATGAAGATCAATCTGAGGATAGTGTCAACCAAGATGAGGTACTTGGGTCTTCTTCTCATAGTGATGTCAATCCTAGCAAGAATAATGAAAATGTTGTGGGGAACAAGAGAGAGCATACTAAGTCGAGAGATTGTGAACCTAAGTTAGTAAATATAAGGGGAAAATCAAACATAAGTGTAAACGCCTCGCCTAAGCGTATGAATGTTAAGCAAGAAAATCCGGAAAAAGTCTGTAAGTCTAATATATTAGTTACTCGCTCAGGTCGGTCAATTAAAAAGCCTGATAAACTTAATCTATAAAGGGAAAGATGTATGATAATGTCTAGAGTCGCCACCTGGTGTCAGCGATAACACACCAAAGAGTGAGCATCTCAGACAGCAGAGAGACACACACGGTGATATAAGTAGTCCGTGACATAACGTATGTAACCCTAACCACAAGCCGAGAGTTATTGGCACGAATAAAGAATATTATTCGTTTAAACAAGCTTCAGTGAGTCATTAACAACTCATACACATACTGGTTATACTGTGGTACAGTTACTTCCTATTACACTACACCATTCAGGCTCAGATCCTAACAAGAATCTACACCTTTATTTTTCACGTGTTAATCCCACACACACATACAGGGTGTCTTAGAATTCGCGCATTCGGAATTCATAGCGTGATTATTCGTGCCAAAAAAAATAACTTTTTCCTGTGACAAAATTGTGTCTGAACATTACTTTTCCAATAAGAGCAACTTTTAGGTAACAAATAAGTGCTTTAGGTAACGCGTGAATCAGGAGCGGCACGCGCACGGCGTGCCAGCGCGTTTGAGCGTGTACGTTTCTGTCATGTTCAGACACGTTCATGACAGAAACGTTCATGTGTTTTACGTGTCTGTATTACACGGAAAAGAAGTGTGATTATCACGATGAATTATACGAGTGGAGAATATTGCGACATGTTGCTAATTTTATTATTATTATTTATTTATTTATTTATTTTTTGGAACAATAATTTCGGTTTACAATTATTCACGTCTTATCTAATCTTATTTGACTTTCAATCATTGCTTCGGTAATATTAATCGGTAATGTTAATTGCAACATATAACCTCTTATTAAGATAAGATGTGTTCAAAATAACGATACTTAGGTATCATGCATAGTTTTTATAAAAACTTTTATCAAAATAGTAAAATAGCATACACGCTCAAACGCGCTGGCACGCCGTGTGCGTGCCGCTCCTGATTCACGCGTTACCTAAAGCGCTTATTCGTTACCTTAAAGTTGCTGTTATTTGAAAAGTAATGTTCAGACACAATTTTGCCAGAGGAAAAAGTTACTTTTTTTGGCACGAATAATCACGCTATGAATTCCGAATGCGCGAATTCTGAGACACCCTGTATACACAGGAAACACCCAAGTACACAACAATTATAGAGAAATGGACGGAGAGATGTATACCGTAAATCAGAATGTAGTGCTGACATGTCACCGCCCGCTTGTTCACCGAGTTTTCTGAGAGTCTCAGCCAATGGACCACTCAGTCGTTGTAACCTCTTCCATGATTGGGCGTATTGTCGTCTGACGAGCTCGATGATCGTGCTAGTCAGCGCCAAGCCGACTAAGATGTACAAGGTACATAATAAGGTGTACTTCGGTTTCTCTAAATGAGATTAACAGACACTTTGTAATTAACACAATTACATTAAATTTGGTATAGACAGATATTAATGAATCCCAGCAAACTATAACGTAACTGTTACATAACTCAGAAACCCTGGTGAAAATAGAATTTGGAGCGTAAATCGAACGTAAGGGGAGGGTGACAGAAGCGTAAACAAAATGCGTAGGAAACGTACTTTGGAACAGCGAAGCGTAAAAGAAGCGTTTGAGGTTTTTTTTACGCTTCGCTGTTCCAAATTACGCTTCCTACATATTTCGTTCACGCTTGTGTCACTCTCCCCTTATGTTCGATTTACGCTCCAATTTTTATTTTTATCAGGGAAGCACATAAAGAGAAAAATGTTATATCTCATACATATAACAAATAGCATATTACTGATACATATATTATTACACACATATGACTATTTAAAAATGTTTTCTTTTTATACGCGTATTATTGCATTACATAAACATAATATATACTCCCACGTTATTACATAACGTATATGTAGAAATATGTAAAATATACATTAATGTTACATCCCCTACAGTAAAAAATATCTCTAAAATATTACATAAATATTCCAATATTGCAACATATTACAAATATTGCAACAATATTGTATAAATATAAAATATATGGGGCATTCTTTGTCAAGTGGGCCACCCCCTCCCCAAAATTGGTTTTACTTTGAAAATTTGTATAAGGACTTAAAATTTAGCTTAATATGTTTACTTGTATTTGCTGAGTGGCATTTCTCGAAAAATCAATATGGCGGTTAAATATGGCGATGAGAATGAGGAAAAGTAGGAAAATAATTAAATGTATTGAAGATAAAAATTATATAAAAAGTGAAAAAAATTATTCATGCCTAAAGTATACCTCACATCATTTACTTTTACAAGGTATGTTGAATTTTCGGAAAATTCGAAATGGCAAATCCAATATGGCGGATGAAATATTAAAACGTGAAAATTTGTATCGAAAAAATATGGTTGTATTCTGCGTCAAATCTAAAACAAAAATACTCTCTTGCGATTTTTCGATATAACGCATCGTTTCAAAGATAAAAATTCATGAATGTTTGGTAAAACTTGGCAAAGCTGGCAAAAGAACTGAAAAAAGGTCTCTCTGTTTAACCAGGGTTGACACTGTCATCACACTTAAAAGGTGAAGCCCACATTATTTTTTCTTTTTTCTTTTTTCTTTATGTAATGTCATGGTGTCTTTGTTAGACTCAACCGTGTAAAAATATATTGTCCACGTCGCAAACAATTGCATGAATGCCTCCCACTTTCCCGCGCGATCATCTTCTTCGATTGTCGCGACTCGTCGCTCGACCAGCCGCCCTCCCCATATAACACTAAGGTCTTGTGTAAACATCTAAAAGATATCTTATTGAAGATATCTTCAAGATATTTCTAGAAAATGTCTAAGAGATGTCTAAAAGATTTCTAAAAATTGCGACGCTTATTCTGTTTTCTTTAAATTTCTTCCGTCCTCCCGTGATACGTGGACGGACGGGTGTTGCCGTCCCGCTCTCGCTGTCGTGCGTGGGTCTCGGTCGAAGGTGCGCGCCGACGACGGGGAGTGCGGTCGCCGGGCGTGAGAAGCGCGGGATGCGGACGGATCGAGTCGTCGTCAAAAACCAAGGGGGGGAAAATGATAACGCGCCGGAAAGGAACAGGATCTCGGTAGCTCCGCGCGTACCATGCCGAAAGCCGAAGGTTCGACGCGAAAGACGAAGCTTGGGCGCCAGACGCGGTCTTTCACGCGTCACGTTACGATATCCGCGAAATCGCGCGAACGATAGGTATCGGCCTTCGTCACGGGCAGGCTAGCTCGCCTAACGGTAGAGGGGCTGGGCGGTGGTTGACACCAAACGATTCCAGAGGCTACGGGACGCACTTAATTCTTACGGCGGACGAGACACACGAAGGGAGACGTACACGAAAAGAAACTCAAAGAAAATAAGATAAATAAAATCGGGTTTAATATAAAGCGGCGTTAACAAGCCGGTTGAGTGGCCGCTATAACGGGCGGCGTCGCAAGCGAATATAATACCAGCCCCGGGATCGGGGGAGACAACTCGCCGCGATACTCTCTGCGACACGGAACAATCCGGCGCGAACTCAACGGCAGGAATTATCCGTACGCGATAAACCCTACTCGGACGACACGGACGCACTCGACAGTAATTTCCTCGCGAACGGTACGAATACCGTCGCACACGCAACACTCGGCCGGGGCGCTTCGCCCGCGAGACTGGGTACTCGGGCCGACGGATCGGCCCGTCTTACAACGACGTGCAATCTTCCGTCGGGCAGTCCCCGACGGCTAACTACGGCGAGCCCTTCGCTCGCTCCCGGCCGCGCCGGCCGCGCCGGTCGGCAGGGGATCCCGTTCAGGACGCACCGTCCTCATGAAACCCGCCACCGATACCGGCGGAAGCGGCACGGGGGATCGCAAACACTCACCCAGCCGTTCGCACTCTTTCGATCGCCGCGGCTCTACGGCGACGTACCCTCGCGCCACGCATGCACGCGACACTTCCGCGGCGTGCGTATCCCGCGTGATCTCGCGCAACGCAACCCTCGCGCCGCGAATCTCCAGATCGGCGGACAAGAATTCACGCGATCGCGAGACTCGAATCACACGCGCTCACTCGCTCACACACGCACAGATGAGACCTGTGCCCTGCAGGCTCCGGGGAACCGCGGCTGCTTGTCGCCGCTACCGGGGCACACAACGAAAATCTAAAGCCGACGGGCCGTAGCTCGGGCGACACCAAGCGCGAAAATTTCCCGGCGACGACAGAACAACCCGGGCCCGGACGCAATCGCACGGGGCGAAACGGACGGAGGACAATCTCACCGGCACCCTCGGCTCTCCCGGGTTCGTCAGGCGGCAACGGCTCGTCCTGACCCTCGGACACTCGCAAATCGGCGGTAGAGCGACGGCAGCGGCAGACCGGGGTCCTCACTCGTACAATGTCGGCAACAGGCTGCTTCCGAATTTTCCGCGATCGCGGATCGATAGTTCGGCCCCCCCCCCGCGGCTGCTCACGCGAGGCGCGTGCCCCGCGGCCAATCGCGCGACGACACGCGACAACGCCGGCAGCGATATTTTCCAGACCGGGCGCAGGTGCCCGCGGTATCG